TATGCTTTATATACTTTTCCATATATACTGCTACAGCTCACAATAAAACGTTTCTTAAAAATGGTGTTTCCATTAGAGTGACACAAATCATCGTTACATTTTCCCTGCACATGAAGTTGCTTCAGTTATAAAATCAATACATCACTGTTTTTTTTTAACGTTTATTTATTATTGAGAGACAGAGAGACACAGAGCGTGAGCAGGGGAGGGGCAGAGAGAAGGGGAGACACAGAATCCGAAGCAGGCTCCAGGCTCTGAGCTGTCAGCACAGAGCCTGACGTGGGGCTTGAACTCACAAACTGCGAGATCATGACCTGAGCCGAAGTTGGTCGCCTAACGAACTGAGCCACCCAGGCGCCCCAAAATCAATACATCACTGTTAAAAATGCAATAACAGAGGTAAGAAAAAGAAAGAAAGAGAGAAAGAAAGAAAGAAGAAAGAAAGAAAGAAGAAAAGAAAAGCATAAAATTTCACTCTTAATCAACTTGGTGAAAATTCCCAAAATGTTTTGTGTTCTGCATACCCTTCAAAATTCCTTGACTATATGCATATGACTTCTTTTTAAAAAAGAGCCAAAATGGAATCATGCTTCACATTTTATTTTTAACAGCTGTATTGAGGTATAGTTGATAACCATTAAACTGCGTGTACCTTAGAGACTATACTCGGTAAGTTTTGAAATAGACACACAGAATTGGGAAACTATCTTCCCCAAATTGGGAACACATTATCCATCACTTTGAAGAGTTTCCTCATGCCCTTTTGTAATACTTGCCGCTCATTCTGCCTCCCTTTTCCCCTTTAAGCAACTAGATATGCTTTCTGTCCCTACAGAGCAGGTGGCATTCTCAACTACGATAAAGCTACCATGAACATGTAGCTTTATTGTAGCTTGTACAAGAACATGTAGCTTGTACAAGTCGTTTTATAGCTATATGCTTCTTTTTCTTTTAGGGGAGTTCCAGTTCCTCCATATCCTTGCCAACACCACTATGGTCGGTCTTTTAATAGGGTCAGCCTTTCTAACAAATACATAGTGGTATCTCATTATGGTTTTTATTTGGATTTCCCTAATTACGACTGATGTTGAACATTATTTTCATATGTTTATTTACCATCCATATATCTTCTTTGGTAACGGGTCTGTTCAAACCTTTGCCTATTTAAAAAGATGAAGTTGTTTTCTTACCGCTAGGCTTTGAGAGTTCTTCATGTATTCTGGATATGAGTGTTGTTTTTTTAAATTAATTTATTTAAATTCAAGTTAGTTAACATACTGTGTAGTGTTGGTTTCAGGAGTATAACCCAGTGCTTCATCCTTACATATGACATCAGGTGCCCATCCCTGCAAGTGCCCTTTTAAATGCCCATCACCCATTTAGCCCATCCCCCCCACTCACTTCCCCTCCAACAACCCTGTTTGTTCTCTGTATTTAAGAGTCTCATATGGGTTGCCTTCCTCTCTGCTTTTATCATATTTTTCCTTCCCTTCCCTTATGTTCATCCATTTTCTTTTTTAAAAAATATTTATTTTTGAGAGAGAGGGAGAGAATGAGCGGGTGCGAGAGTGTGGGAGGGGCAGAGAGAGGGAGACAGAGGATCTGAAGTGGGTTCTGCACCAACAGCAGACAGCCCGATGTGGGGCTCGAACTCATGAACCGTGAGATCATAACCTGAGCTGAAGTCGGACACTTAAGCGACCAAGCCACCCAGCCCCTATCTTTGTTATAATTCTTGAAATCAGACAACATTAGCACACCAACTTTGTTCTTCTTAAAAGATATTTTGGCTATTCTAGGTCCTTTACATTTTCAAATGAATTTTAGGATCAGCTGATCAACTTATACACACACACACAAAAAAGCCTGCTGACTTTGGTGAGAATTGATATCTGAACCCCAGAGTCTTCTGAGTCATGAAGAAGGTGTATTTCTCCACTTATTTAGGTGTTAATTTCTTTTAGCAATATATTAGTCTTTATGAAGATTATATATTACAGTTTTTAACAGGTGTTTCATATCTGCCATGAGAGTTACCCCCAATTACTGCATATTTTTGACGCAATTATAAGTGCAACTTCTGATTGTTTGCAGCTAGTATAGAGAAATACAGTTGGATTTTGTATATTGACCTTGTATCCTGAAGCTTTGTAAACCAATTAGTAGTAGCATTTTGCAGATTCCATTGGATTTTCTGCGTTGGTATTATGCCATCTTCATAGAAACAGTTATTTCTTCCTTTCCAATCTGGATGCTGTTTACTTCTTCTTCTTGCCTAATTTCATTGTCTGGATATCTGGCACAATATTGAATAGAAGTCTCTGATTTGCTTCTGATCTTACAGGGAAAGTATTCAGTTTTTTCCATCAAGTATGACATTAGCTGTAGGTTTTCATAGATGCTTTTTACTGGTTGTGAAATCCCCTTGTATTCCTAGTTGCCGGGAGTTTTAGATTAAGGATAGATGTTGGATTTCACCAAATGCCTTTCCATGTCCATTGAGATGATCATTTATTTTTTCTTTTCTAGTTTGTTAATAGTGGTGAATTACACTGATTTCAAATGTTAAACCAACCCTGGATTTTTTTGTGTGTGTGTGGTCTTGGTGTAAGAGATGATTTCTTTTGTTTCCTCCAAGTTTTTATTTTTATTATTTTATTTACATTCTAGTTAGTTAACATATAGTGTAATATTGGTTCAGGAATAGAATTTAGTGATTCATCACTTACACATAACACCCAGTGCTCGTTATATAACAAGATCCCTCCTTAATGCCCACCACCCACTTAGCACG